TGGTTGCAAACATTTTGAAGCAGGGAAAATTGCTCACTTTCTTTAATTCACCAAATATCAACAACCAATGTAACTTTTTGCGAAGCGCCTGCCTCGCTAAATAAGCTGTAATAAAACACTTGAACCTGTGCTTCAAGCTATTTCCTGAAGAAGCTCAATTCCACGTTTGACTTGTCAGGGCAAATTAAAAATTTGGAGTTCTCACCAGATTATGATGGTCGCTCTATGACTGAGTGTTCCCCAAATCACACGAACAGCACCGCGTTAAAGAATCAGACTACCATCCATCAATTTTCTTTTAGGATCAATTCGCAATCGCGCCGCTGCAACTCATCCCTCCACTCAAAGAAGACCCCGAATTTCTGTTTTTTGAAATTTTTGCGGTAGCTGAATTGATATTTGTAATCAGCACTACGTAATGTTCCAAAAAAAGGAAGAATTCGGAGATTCGCCCCATTTTGTCTATAGCGCCGGGCCTCAAGCCGGCCAATTTGTTTTTTCAGTTACTATTCCAGTAAGCCGGCTGAGTCGATCGACGGGAAGTTAGGAGGTACTAGAAGAGCAGTTCACAAAAAAAAGGAAAAATAAAGGTATTTTGACATTCGGTAGAAAAGCTCTGCTTTGAACAAAGTCTTACTCGAAAATAGAGTAAAGGCTTACCAATTCCAGAAATTAGTGTTGCAAACAGAAACTTTTGAGAGGAAGACTAACCACGATTTAAAAAAAAACATGTAAATGGTAAAAAGAGATATAAGCTAGTAATATCACTTCAAATTGATCATCAAATGGGCGAAAATTGGGGTCAAACGATAAGACCTGACGGTCAGAGGCATACCTCTTCAATCTGCTGTGCCAATTTTGCATTTTCCTGTTGCAACTCCTTCAGAGCGACCGACTCTGTTTGGGAGTTTGTGGAAGTGCGAGACATGGGGGCATATGTTGGTGATGCTAAAAGTAAAAGTAAGAGAATACGAAAAACGAAAAAAAAATATTGGGCATTTTGGATGGTATACCATTGCTAAAGACAGAACTTTTCGCATTTTCCTCCCCATGCAATGTGAGCAATACGCAGAACATTTGGTACAAAAGAAAGCTTTTACCTTTTTTAGCCGCAGGGACATTAGGAACAACTGTTCGGGCATTGGCATTTACAGCAGGAACACCAGGAACAACAGTTCGCATGGTAGTATTTACGGCACTTCGGGCCGAGGCGGCTGCACGAGCGGGAGCAGGACCTTTAGCACCAGCAGGTAAAGGCTGAAAGGGCATATACAGGACGTCCCATATAACGTATCCACGGTTTGATTTTTAATGACTTTCGCATTTCTATTTTTTAAATATTGCAAATTCATTTTAAAGGGCTAGGTCGAACCTAGATTTCCGCTAAAAATTAGAGTTCGCACTTGAATGGCTTGGCGCTGAAGTCAAGCATATGCTATAATTGTTTAAAAATCTGCGGTATCCAAATTTCAATTTAGATTCATCGTAACAGTTAATCCAAGTAGACAAGTTTTAGGCGTCTACTGTTTCTGTGCCGGTGACATGCTTTAGGCCAGCCTAAGAATCAGATAGATTTAGACCGTAACCCTGTGGTAATGGAAAGGGAGACAAGACATTTATGAAGATCTCAGTTCAAGCTAGCCTTTCAAAAAAAGTTCGAGACCTGGAGAAGATTAAGGAGTAAAAAAGTTATTACCAAACAGTGTACAGTTTTTTGGGTTAATATGTATTTCAGAAGCCTCACAACCAGGATGCAAAAATAGAGTAGTGGATATCTACCAAAGCATCCTACAAGTCAACAAATGACCAGCTTAAAGTGATGCTCAGCGTTAGAGTAACATTCGCTCTCTGGAACAGCGAATCGGCGATGTCGCCGTCACTATACAGTAGGGAAAAAAACTTTCAACACACCTATAATGTTGACAGACTAATTTCATCTTAAAATGAGATGTTCATATGAAACAAATGGTAAACAAGACCTAGTGGTGAGCGGCAGGCTTACATAGCGTCAGCAATAAATCTTAATCACTGCAATAAAATCTGCGCAGCATGTTGGACTGTGTCTCATAAAGCTTTGCCAATAATATACAACATTAAAATGGTAATCTGAAAATGAGCTCTGGTTACCACTTTGAGATGTCTTTAAATTTTGAAAGAAAAGCTTGATTCACGATAAGCAGTTAAGTGGAAGCAGGCCTTAACATTGCCACCATTACACTCCACAACGCTGCTTCTCCTATAATCTCACTTTGAGAGTTAATGCTATTTTTGACTGAGATAGTTGTACATACGCGTACATAATGTAAAGACTGGAAAATAAAAACGATCAGTTCAATTTCTCATTCAATATCAAATTTCTACAAACAAACCAGTAATATTCTCACCTCACCACCACGAGCGGTCACTGCATCGTAATCTTCTCCATCGTCAACGTAATTTGCATTGAAGAATTTAAAGAACCACTGTAGAAACTCAAAATTGTCTTGGAATTTCGCTTTCGTCAAGCGCTCTACTGGTACAGGCTGAATTACACCTTTTTGACAACTTCGCTTGACACTGACGGCATCACGCATACCTTATCCACTCCTAAAGTTTTCCATGCAGTACCTAATATTTTCCAATTACTGATATGATCCATTTCGTTACGACTGTTCCACTTCACCTTGAAACATTTGCATAATGAACGGTAGAAAGTGGGGGAAAAACTAATGAAACGCACCTTGCGCAAATTTATGGAATCTCGAAACAACAAGTGAGTAAGCTGACAGTAGGCCGCACCTGTGCTCATTTCCTCGATCTTGGAAAAATTAGCCTAAAGTCAGAATTCATGAGAGAAAAGCATCATAAGTTTATTGTGCACAGGCAAAGCCTGCTATGCAGAATTAACTGTTGCTTTCAAAATTTTACAACCGAATTTTGATTCTGAGAATTTACGCAAGAATTATTGGAAATATAGATTATTGAAAATATTCTAAGAAAACAGCATAGTTTTTCAAGTTTCCACGAATTACCACTATAAAA